AAAAGCGAGTGGGGGGGGGGGGGCAAAGGTGGCGTGATCGTAGCCAACCAATAGGAGAGCGCCATTCCAAAAAAAAAGCAAACGGTGACAGAGATGAAGAATTATTAAGAACGCATGACGCTCGTAACTGTATATAGAATTTCATGTGTAATAATTCTAGCATATAATTGTCCATTTCTCTTTTTAGTGTAAACTATTATAAATACATCAAGAACATATATACAAAAATATACCCAGATTTAGCATAAGCTTAACAAAACAATACGAACCATTTTAAAATGATTATTAAACTAAAAAAAAATATTCACCACTATTCATAGAACCTTTTGCAATATTTCTAGTACATACTACACATGTTGCAATTGATGGATTTAACTTGTTGAATAAGGTTTATAAAGATTGGAGATGGGCAAACCACCTTGTCGAAATATATATTGGGTGTTTAGAATAAACAACATTGATCCACACACACAAGATTTTTTATTATTTATTGATAAAAATTCGAAAATATAGACGCGTATGAATCTTTTAAAAATTAAATAATTTCTACTGCCCTTACTTTTTAAAAGAATCATACGCGTCTATAATAGTTTGGAATTTTCATAACAGATGGCGCTCTAATACATCATAATATAATTGATAAAATATTTAAAATATAATTAAATACTCTATGCAGAATTATAGAAGATTATAAACAATATATTTTTAGAAAATCGTAGCAAAAGACGAATGATTGAGTTTAGAAATATAATCGAGAGAGAGTTTCTCAGTCCTATGTTTCATCCTAGCAGTCCCACACAATATGTCTATTGAAGAATCTTAATGAAACATCTCTTGAGAATAAACTTGATGTTGACAAAAAAATAATAAAAGAGAGAAAGATTGAGATTGAAACTTCTTTATTTATCATACATATAAGATTATATAAGGTTAATTGGAGGAAAAAAAAAAGTAAAATTAAATATTATTTTCATCAGAGGAATCCCACTGATGGTCATCTGGTATGATGTCACGCCCTGAAGTCGGACAGATCTCCCTGACTATTGCCATGTCTAGGAATAGCTTCAGACCTCTGTTCAGGCGACAGGTACTTGAGGACGTCCTCCCTGTTAAAAAGGATAAAAATATCCGTTGGAAATGACCAATGGTAGACGCGATGAGTTTCTTTGTTTTAGAATTAAACAGATTACCTTTGGTCTCTTCCAGCAATGGTATCCTGCGATTTTGTAATTAGTAACAATTAGCAACTGATTTGACAAGCGACAAACTCTTTGAGAAACCATTCTTGTAATATTTTAAAAAATGATTTGATCTGATCTTACTCAACCTCCAATAAAAGACCACTTCCAGGAGAGACCATAAGTATCTTTACCTTTTAGATGATCTTTAATAGGAGGTCTTCTGCATTTATATTCTTCTAAACGAATTCTTTCATCTCTTTAAAGGGATGCGACAAACTCTTTGAGAAACCATTCTTGTAAGATTTTTTAAATGATTTGATCTTATATTACCCAACCTCCAATAAAGGACCATCTCAAGGAGGGACCAGAAGTATCTTTCCCTTTGGGCGATTTTTAATAGGAGGTCTTCTGCATCTATATTCTTCCAAACGAACTCTTTCATATCTTTAAAGTTAAGTTTCAACATGTGGTTGTCAGGCCTTGAAGAAATAGATCCTCCACAACGGTGGAATCCAACCTGTACTCTACAAATCCTCAAGTTCCCACATGTAGACATGGTGACGTCGGTTCTTGAAGCTCTTACGTCGCCCACATGTCTGGCTTGAAATAGGTCAACACGCACATATAGACTCACACATTTAACATAGCTTTTATTAAGACTTATTTGCATATTTTTTGGACATTTTCTCTTCACCATATCGAAGTATTTCTCTTTGTAATAATGTGGACATATTTTATCAGAGTCTTTGTTATTGAGAAAAACTATATTTTATTTCTTTTGTTTTTCAAAGTAAACGTTGAATAAATTAAAGGGTCTGAATGAAAAAGATTGTTAAAATTCATTTAGCCATACAATTTATTTATTACCAGTTGCAAATAAGACACGCTGTAGGGTAGGCTGTAGAGTAGGTAACAGAATTGTCAAAAAGAAAATGAACAATTAAGAAAAATGAGTATTGAATAAACATATACATTAAACAAATAAGCAACAACATAAGCAGATAGAAGCAAGGTAGTTATTTACAATATGTTAAGCAATGATGGAAGTTGATTTAATGAAGTTATCTGTGAAAATTAGTATCGCGGAGCGAGAAAGTTGATCAAGTTGAGCTATAGTTTACTTATTTTTATGTATTTTTTCCTAAGAAAAAGTGTCCAAATCGGGATGCGATCCCAAGACGTGGGTGTTGGAAACCGACTGTTTAAACCATTCATCCACCAATCCCCATTAAATACTTTATTAAAATACACAAAAATGTATGAAGACATTTCAGACCGTCATATATAGGCTTCTTGTTCGTAATAGAGAACTAGAAATATATATTTCGATTTCTATATATATTGAAAAAGCCATGGTCCACCTGTGCTGTGTGATCAGAAGAGCTTAAATTGACTTGTTCCATTATATGTATGTTCCATATGTAAATACCTGTTTTCTTTCCTCTTTTCGCTCTCCACTTCTCCCATCCATATTTCCAATTTTTTTCTTATTTTCAATGGGATTATTCAAATAATAATCTGTATATATTTACCATATGTATATAATCTTTCTCCATTTTTACCCCCTTGTATATTTCCCACTTTCACAGGTTTCTCCCTCTTGTAACCCCAAGGAGAATCCTCTGTAAGACCTGTGTGTCTTAATAAGGGCTTTTGTGTGTGTGTGATTTCTATATATATAATATACCAGCAAAGTATGCAAATATCAATATTTAATGCTGATGCTTTGTCAAAATCCAAGAAAATGCAAAAAAAAAAAAAGACAAGGAAAGGTCAAATTTGGGACATAAACGCTGAGAGAAGAATTACAGAAAGCAAAAACGAGACTCAGAATGAAACACTACAAAGGAATGACTATACATCCAGATGGTACAAGAACCTACAGGACATGCAACAATTGTCCTGGTGTGGAACTAACACCTACCCACATTCTATATACAGTTACGAGCGTCATCAATTCTTCATCTCTTAATTCTTCATCTCTTAATCATTCACCTCTGTCACCGTTTGCTTTTTTTTTTTGGAATGGCGCTCTCCTATTGGTTGGCTACGAACACACCACCTTTGCCCCCCCCCCCCCCCCCCCCATCATGCCCCCCCCCCCCCCCCACTCGCTTTGTTGTTTTTGTAACTATTGTGTTGGAGCGGGTCGCTCCTTAAATAAATGCATATATTAGTTAATAACTAAATGGAATCCTCTCTTTCTTTTACCCAGTAAGAGACGCCTACGGAAGCCAACAGTACATAGACAGATAAAGCACTTAGGCTATAGTTATTAACTAATATATGCATTTATTTAAGGCGCCAATTTATAATTGTAACAAATAGTATTTGAATCAAAACATTCAATCGGGTAAAACACGGGCGTTGCCCGGGTCATTCGGCTAGTATTCTTATATCCAACAATGACTGCAGCCTTTCAAAAATTTGACATGGACCCAGAGCAGCAGCTTTACACACCTAAGATAGAGGACATCTAGACTTTCTCCTTAACAAAATAAGATGGAAGAAAACTAATAAAGGGAAGGGAAATAAAACATTCACAGAGGTTGTTTAGCCCAGTAGAGAGTTCATTCTTATCTTTAACAGATTTATAAAAGTCATATAAATTATATAAACCCATTAGACAAATTGAAACTATTATAAACGTGAATTTTTATTTTTCAAGTGTTGAACCCTCCCAGCAGTTTAATCTTATGCCGCTTTTTTTGTTCAAAGCTATATGACAATGGTTATATAAATTTTATATATAGAATAAAGTCCGCCCTAGGCTGAAAAGGGCCATTAGCTCGAAATCTTGGTCTCTATAGGACGCTTCTCAGTTTACCAAAGCTGGTGCTGGGGCTTTGTCAGCGACACGAGGCCGCTAGTTTGCGGCGTCGGTCAATAGATGGCGTCTAGCTTTGACATCTATTTTGACGGGAGAGGCGACCTTTGTCTTCATATAAATATAAACTGTTATGTGTCAGCAGTATTCAGTGTACATTTTGCATCGATATTTTCCGCTAGAAATTCCTAAAAAAAACAGTCAGTCATAAGTCATAAGCAAAAAGGCGATAACGCGCCATCTATATATACAAAATGAGTTTTATATAACCACGAATTTCTTTCTTATTCGAATAAAGCAAATTTGTTACTCTTATAATTGAGATTAGAAATGTCTATTAATTATTATATAACCTGGTTACCTTATTTAAATATAAAAATGTCATCGTAAAGATAGAGGCTGCCTGGCCGGAATTCATAGTTCTTCAAATTAAAGAAAATAAAGATTTTTGTCGAAACGTCGAGACAATAAAAAAGATTTACTGGCCGAATTATCTTTAATTTGAAGGAAAATGTTATATTTAAATACCAAATAAGCGTGGATATACTCACCATGTCTTCCAGCCCAACATAACCATTCCCAAGGGAAGAACAATCGCCCCAGTTCCATTGATCTCCAGACCAGACCCTCACGAATTCCATTTGGTCTTGAAGGACTTTGTTTGTTTTCTCTTTTGCCATTATTTGACTTTTGACGCCACGAAGGAAAAAAATAATAATGAGATGATGAAAAAAAGAAATTCGTGATTTTCATACACTGGTATAATTATCTCCTTTTTTTTTTCTGCAAATATAATTTGAGTTCCAGATCCATTATAGAGGAGAATTTTTAAAGGAAGATTAAAATCTTTTAAAAATAAGTTTGTTGAATAATTCAAAAACGAGCTTTAGGAACTTCGTTCTTCAACATGCGTGTTAGCATTTATATAGGATTATGTGTGGTTTATAAGGATAAATGCTGGGAGTCGTGCTCCTGTAATCCATCTACTTGGAGGCCGGAGTTGGTGGACGGCTTGAGGCGAGGAGCCCTCCCTTCTGGTTCCTTATGTTGACCGGATGTCGTCCGCACTAGGCCCAGCGTCAATATGGCGACCCCGGGGGAACCCGGGGCCTCCAGGTCAGCTAAGGAGGAGTGGACCGGCCCAGAGCGGTAACGCAGCAAGGCAAAAGCTCCCGCACAGGGCGGTAGTGGAATCGCGTCCGTGAATAGTATCCAGATGGGAGCCTCGCCGATATAGTTGGACCCAACTCTTTTTTTATGAACAAGACACCACCATAAGGATAAATACGAACCAAAAGAATACAACATATCTCAGACGTGATGTGTTTCATTATTTTGTACTGACAACTTTCCAACAATGGAGGCACCATTTTTCAATTCGCGGTGTATCTTAATTCATAATATTCCAATATGAATGTTCACTCCTAATGTTATATATTAAAATCAAAAAATGCATATCCTCACCACGTTCACATGAACATTTATATGGCAGAGCGCCATCTAATGGAGCAGAAATCAACTAATCGTTGATTTAGCATGTTCCCTGATATTTAGCTAACCCGTTCGTGATTTACTTTTCTTGATTTATCAAAGAATTGGTTTGGTCAAATATCAGGGAACAAGTTAAATCAACGTTTAGTTGATTTCTGTTCCACTGATTGGCGTTTTGCCATCTAAAAGTTAATGTGAACATAGTAAGGATTTGCATTTTTTAAAATACCAAACACCTGACCTTTTTTATTATATTATTTTTATTTTTTTTTCAAATGTTATATATATGGGTGTCTTTTTATCGATTAATATTCATTCTTAATTACTAATTGAAGAGCGAAGCCTCGAGAAATCTCACTGTTATTTTGATAAAGGATTGGATCTATATACTTATCATTTCCAGTTGGTTTTGAGGACCACGCCATCACCATCTACTCAGCGGCGAAGTACACGATCTACGTATTCATCGTAGATCGCGAAATACGTGGTGTCGCTGGAGACCCGCTGGCGATTCTCCACCAAACTCTGCAGCGGTGGCAGAGGCGCCATATTCATTGTACATAGTATGATGCATGTATATATTATAAATAGAAAAGAGATTTTCTGCTTGAATTTAGATCATGTTGAGGATTATTGTATGGTAATGCAGTCGTTGTTGAAAATCTTGAAATAAAAATAATAATGGTTTTGATCAGAAGTCGCTTTAATTGAACCCATGGAATACATATAAAAACAATTTTATAAAAGTAATGCCTGGCTTAAGGCGTAAGAATAAGGAAAACAAAAGATTATTTTCATAATGTACAAATGTTTTGAGCCAGCCTTTGGGATAAAACAACAACGAGTTTTTGTAGGGGAAGAGTGAACTCTGGCGGTCGATTTAACAGAATATTTGAATCTATGAAATTATAATTTCAAATAAAATAATATTTTAATATAACATATATAATTATCTTTTTTAAAATAGAACAGACTATGCACTTTTGCTTGTATTGACAAGATGTCAATAAAATTATTTCAATTATCAAATTGTCTATATACTTATAATTTATATATTGAAATATTCGTGTTGATATAGGAATAAATGAATTTGGAAATTATTCAATATGATCCACATCTTTAAAGTATTTTATGCTGATATCACACACACAAAGGTAGATATAAGTCCAAACATAATCAATGAATTAACAAAAATAGTGTGTTCATGTTTGCTATATACTTCAAAAATATAATTATATATTTAGGAAATATATATACTGTAAAATATAGAAAGATTATAAATCCAATTTAAAAGATAAAGTTAATATATATAAAGAGAAATTATGAATAAATTGAGACATACAAAGTTTTGAAATGATAATGGCGTTAACTCTAAACTAAATCATAGTAAAACAGAAGGTGTTACAGCCAGAAGAAGTTGAAGAAAAAAAACGTGGAGAAATTTGACTCAACTTAACTTCTTATGGCGCGTGAAGGAGGATTGGATTTGGGATACAAAAAAAGTAAAAAAAAAAGTGTTATATTTAAGAAAAAAGGCATCTCCTAATCGGGCAGCAAAGAGTTACTGATGGCTTGCGCTATCTATCGGAATAAATATTGATTTTCTTTGATTTTAATTATTCCAGTTATTTTCATTTTTAATAATTTTGTCTATATAATAGCCTGTACATTGATGCCAAATTTTATGATATTCCACCAAATCTTTCTACGTTTATAACTTTCTATTTATACTAGTATAGATAGCTGTTAAAATTTGTAACAAATAAATTTACTGGCAATGTGTTTCTTTTCAATAATATCATCAAAATAATGCTAAAAATAAATGATTTTGATGATATTATTGAAAAGAAACAAATTTCTAGTAAATTTATCTATATATATAAAAATGAATGTATGTGTGTGTGTGTCCTTTATATGCCTGACCAAACCACTCATTGGAACGCCATGAAACTTTGGGAAGTTATTCAGTATAGTACTGGGAAGGTTTCTAGCAAATAAAATTTTTGAAATAACTTTTCGCTTTAAAATAATCAAGATAAATATTCTAATTTATCTGTTATAATTCAACAATCTGCTCTAAATATTATCATGATGATACGATGATTTTGTAATGTAGAAAATTAGGAAAGACAAAATTCAGGATGACACGGCAATTTATTTGAGACAAGAATAATGATACAATTCCAAGGCAAGATACTATTCCTTTAACTTCCAATTACCGAGGGAACCAATTAATATTGATTTTATTCAACTTATCGAGTACTTTTCAAGGGACCGGGAAAAAATGTTCACTTTATCGAGAGATTCGTTAGACAAACCTTTACTCGGGTAAAACCCGGGCGAAGCCGGGTACGTCCGCTAGTTTGTTATAAATTTTAACGATAGATGGCAATTGAATTTATAAATAGATAGTTGTGTTACCAGGTACAATAAAAAAAAAAACAAAAAAAAACAGGACGAATGCATCGATACCATCACAACTATCGATTTCGGAAGATGACCGACTTCTGTACAACGGAATTATTTGAGATTCTTCTGTCATATCGCGCGACGCAGGGGAATGGAGTACACCATACTGATCGGAAAGACGTCTGAACGCCCGTTGACACGCTTCGTGGACCAATTAAAGTAACTCAATGGATTAATGGTCGCCGAGATGGTACATCGAGCTAAAGACAGAGATGACTGGCGTCACATCGTGTTTGGGATGTAATACGTACAGTGGTCCACAACGTTTGATTGCGAATAAAAGGATATATATGAATAAGAACCGTTAATATTTAAACATATGGTAATATATGATTAACAGGTTATAAGGTCACACACAGGAATTAGAGAGATCAACAAACAGTTTACCTATATTGAGCATTCTAAGATATGGTAATGGTGATTGGTCGGTAGGTGGCCAATGACCATTATTACTCCCAACCCGTTTAAGATGGATTATATACACGATCACAGTACCTCCTCTTACAAATAACCTTTTGTAAAAACCACATAGATCAATTCTGTCTATCGAATCAATGGGAAACTGGTATATAAAGGTGCCAGATTTGCATAATAAATTGTTACCTTACTTTCTTTTGAGAATATATATTTACTTATTTGCTTATTATTTAAAGCTTATGTCCCTGAATGTCGTGGTAAATTTAGATGAGGAAAGCGAAGATTAGAACGCGGTTGATTCCACTCTCGCCTTTTCAGTGATACGCTAACCTATGCACGGTAGATTCAATGAAAAGCCGAGTAACAGCTTGAATTATAAAGGTATAGAAGAAGGGGGAAAGAGATGTGTTTTAAACTAATAAAAATAGCCAAAGAACAATTTCACCACGTGAGATAGCAAAACGTATTTTTAAAAATCTAGATACGCGTATAGAAATACGTCCATATGTGGCATAATATTGAAAAATAAGTTTTGTACCATTATATTTTCCGGTATATTTGATTGTATATCCTGAATGAAATAGTAATCTGATGATTTTGTCTTGGCATTTACCTCAAATTTACCAAAATTCGTCTCATTGGATAATTCCTTTTTAGTAAGTCGCTTTATTTTTGTCTTTAGGTATACACAATCATACGTAATATCATAAGTTACTGATAGTATATAATATATAAATAATAATTTCTACTATATGCTATTAAATTTTTATATGCTTTTTAAAATATTGTACATTGAATCTGCTCCTTATTAGCGTTGAAAAGGCCAGTTGAAAAGTGCCGTTTTATTATCTCGACAGTTCGTTCTTCGCATCTCTAGTCCTAATTTCAGTATTGGGATGCTTTCGTATTTTTACTTCAATTCAAATCAATCAAGTAGATTAAGATTTAAAGTCAACGATTCTATACATGTTCAAAAGCCACTTAAATCTTTGCTATCGGTTCCAAACGTCTTCGAATAATTAATTTAATAGTTAATTAATAGTTAATTCAATGCCTTCATCTACTGAGAGCGGGCCACATGGTCTCTCCATACTACCCGGTCCTCCGCCATCCTCTTCATCTCCTCGTGTCGTCCAGTCCATTGTTTTAGATCATATGTGTATCCCTGTCGTCTCCTTCCCCTCGATCTCTTCCCCCGGAGCTTTCCTTCCAACACTGTCAGCAATGTCTCTCCTGCTGATCCACGCATCACATGTCCAGCAAACGTCAGTTTTCGTTGTTTTATGAACTTTATCAGCTGGTGTTATGTACCAATTCGATCGAGGACTTGCATTTTTGTTACCATATCTGTCCAATGAATTTTGAGAGCTCTTCTGTTTAGTGAAGGTAATTAATGGATAATCTGTGTTCCCTGGGGGAGGATGGAGTCGGCCGACTGACTCAGACATTCCGGCCTAAAATAAAGCGTGACTCGATGGGCAAACCGCCAGCCTTCTTCGGCAGCCCCAGATTTGTCTCGGTCGCCTCCACGTGGCTCGGCTTTCACTTCACGTTCATCTTCTTTCCATGAACTGACTACCACGTGGATTCCCAATCCACTGGGATACAACGATCATTTTGTTTCGATAACTTTTCCTCAATGGGTGAATCGCGAGAATTCCATTTCTTCAAATATAAAAAGGAATAAGAAATGAAAG